TCTTCCGTCCTAAGTGCAGGACTCTGCACTTGTCCTTGTTGAACCTCATCAGATTTCTTTTGGCCCAATCCTCTAATTTGTCTAGGTCACTCTGGATCCTATCCCTACCCTCCAGCATATCGATCTCTCTCCCCACCTTAGTGTCATCTCTGAACTTGCTCAGGGTGCAATCCATCCCAAGATCCAGTTCATTAATAAAGATGATGAACAAAATGGCCCCAGGACAGACCCCTGGGGCACTCCGCTTGATACTGGCTGCCGACTAGACATTGACCCATTCATAACTACCAGTTGAGCCTGACAATCTAGCCAGGTTTCTATCCACTGTATAGTCCATTCATCCAATTCAGACTTTTTTAACTTGCTGGCAAGTATACAGTGGGAGACGGTAACAAAAGCTTTTCTACAGTCTGGATATATCATGTCCACAGCTTTCCACATATCCATAGAGGCAGTTATCTCACCATAGAAGTGAATTAGGTTGGCCAGGCATTACTTGCCCTTGGTGAATCCATATTCACTATTCCTAAACACCTTTCTCTCCTCTAAGTGCTTCAAAATGGATTCCTTTAGGACCTGCTCCATGATTTTTCCAGGGACTGAGGTGAGGCTGACCGGTCTGTAGTTCCCCAGAATCTCCTTCTTCTTTTTTTAAAGATGGGCACTATATTTGCTTTTTTCCAATCAACCGGGACCTCCCCTGATCATTCTGAATTTTCAAAGATAATGGCCAATGGCTCTGCAATCACATTAGCCAACTCCCTCACCACCCTTGGATACATTAGATCCAGGCTCATAGACTTGTGCATGTCCAGGTTTTCTAAATGGTCCTTAACCTGTTCTTTCAATACTGAGGGCTGCTCACCTCCTCCCCATACTGTGCTGCCCAGTGCAGCAGGCTGGGAGCTGACCTTGTCTGTGAAGACTGAAGAAAAGAAACCATTGAGTACTTCAGCTTTTTCCATATCACCTGTCATTAGGTTGCCTTCCCCATTCATTAAGGGTCCCACACTTTCCCTGACCTTCTTCATGTTGCTAACATACCTGTAGAAACCCTTCTTGTTACCCTTCACATCCCTTGCTAGCTGCAACTCCAATTGTGCTTTGGCCTGCCTGATTACACCCCTGCATGCTTGAGCAATATTTTTATACTCCTCCCTAATCATCTGTCCAAGTTTCCACTTCTTGCAAGCTTCCTTTTTGTGTTTAAGCTCACCAAAGATATCTGTTTTAAGCCAATCTGGTCACCTGCCATATTTGTAATTTTTTCTGCACATTTGGATGGTTTGTTCCTGTGCCCTCAATAAGGCTTCTTTAAAATACAACCAGCTCTCTTAGACTCCTTTTCCCCTCATATTAGCTTCCGAGAGTGTCCTGCCCATCAGTTCCCTAAGGCAGTCAAAATCTGCTTTTCTGAATTTCAGGATCCATCTTTTACTACTCTCCTTTCCTCCTTTTGTCAGGATCCTGAACTCAACCACCTCAGGGTCGCTGCTGCCCAGGTTGCCATCCACTTCTATTTCCCTACCAATTCTTCCCTCTTTGTAAGCAGCAGGTCAAGGGGAGCATGGCCCCTTGTTGGTTCCTCCAGCACTTGCACCATGAAGTTGTCCTCAGCAGTCTCCAAATACTTCCTGGATTCTCTGTGCATTGCTGTATTGCTCTCCCAGCAAATGTCAGGGTGATTGAAGTCCCCCATGGGAACCAGGCCCTGCGATCTGGAAACTTCTATTAATTTTCCGAAGAATGCCTCCTGTTCCTCATCCTCATGGTCTGGTGGTCTATAGCACACTCCCACCATGACATCACCCGTTTTGCTCTCCCCTCTAAACTTAACCCAAAAACTCTCAATAGGTTTTTCTACAGTTTCATACTGGAGCTCTGAGCAATCATACTGCTCCCCTACATACAGTGCAACTCCTCCACCTTTTCTCCCCTGTCTGTCCTTTCTAAACAGTTTATACCCATGCATGACAGTGCTCCAGTCATGTGAGCTACTCCACCAAGTCTGTTATTCCAATCACAGCATAGTTCCTTCACTGTGCCAAGACTTCTTATTCTTCCTGCTTGTTTCCCAGGCTTCTTGCATTTCTGTAGAGGTGTGACAGATTTCAGTTACCAATCTGCCTGAGGCGTGTGGCTAGATCACAAGAAAAGAGCTATGATTTCAATAAACCATACAGAGCACGATTTTACTATTGTGTATGGATGCTTAAGTATCACTCAGTAAATGACGTGTGTTTTCTGGATAGGGTCTCCTAGTCTCTTAACTAAAGCCCCTCGGTGCAGAACCCCACCGTTACCAGCAGGGTAACACCATGAAGTCACAAGATCTCATCAGACTTTCCCTGGCACTGGCCAAAACAGCCATTAACTGACCCAGGAGGACGACATTCCACACAACGTTTCCCTGCAACTATAGGGGAGGTCTGTTTCTGTAGGGTAATCATCAAATTTCAATATTGTGTTGATCTTTCAGAAACTGATGCAGAAAAGTGGCTGTGCTACCCTGTGTCAGAATTAGTACAATGGGACTTCTCCACTCACTGTGCTGTTTTACGTTGTTATGCCCTGCTCGGGGGAGAACACAGTGGAAAAGGAATCAAACAACTGCTATATCTGGATCTTTTGTTCTGGATACAGTCCCTGCCCTACGCTTGCATCACAGGTGCCTGGGGACCTAATTTCTTACCCAGCATAGTTCGTGGGTAAGAACCTCACTTCTTCAGATGCAAGTCACTTGCATCTGAAGAAGTGAGGTTCTTACCCATGAAAGCTTATGCTCCCAATACTTCTGTTAGTCTTAAAGGTGCCACAGGACCCTCTGTTGCCCTATGCAGAGAGGAGATGAAATATTAGAACAGTTTGAGCCTCCATATATGTAGCCATTTTAAACCAGTATCCTGGAAGAAGAAAGCCTTTCCCACACCCTATTGCTGGCATTAATTAAGAATCACTTCATTTGCCCTTCACAGAGTGGCATTGACTTTGCAGAAGCTAATGCTCTGTATATTACAACTGCATGGGCAGTACGCAGCAGTATGCTGCTACGATCAATTGAAAATGGTTTTTGGTTCCGTGTCTTATGGCAGTATAGCCACACACAGTGCAGATGGCAGTACATTACACACAGGAAAAAAAAAAAACATTGTCAATTGCTAGGCTGAACAACAGTGTGCAAGTCTCAGTTTGCCCTGACAATCTTCAGCCCCTGATATCGGCAGATCATTTCTTCACTCCCAGGGGAGGCTCTCAAGCTGAAGTTCTCCAGGGTCTATTTCATGCTCATCCCACTGCTCACGGAGCCAAGGGAGTTTTCCAGGAATCCTGGCCAACCTGAGAGTCTGCAGGGACTGTACAGGGGAATCATAAAGATCACTGCTCAACACGTCGAATAGATTTCTTCTTTCGGCTGAGCGAGATTATGGTGAGTTGCCTGTTTCTGCACTAAAGTTAGTGCTGAGGGCTCAGGAAGGGCTCCATGGTACAAGTCAAGAACCATCTGGGCAGGAATTCAGCAGCACGGTGATGTGAACTGTTTAGTATTGTTAGAAACACCAAAGGATTTACCTGATAACATTGAAACTACAAATATACTGGGAATAGTTTAGACAAATAATTGTTTTTAAGAAAATTCCTTGTCTCTTACTTTATCCCTCTATCTGTCTCGGTAATTTCCTTTTTTGGCCGGTGTGATTTTTCTCTGGTTCATTAATTTTCTCCAATTCAGCGACTTCACTGACCTATTAGGAAGTGCAACCAAAGCCTCTGCAATGGGTATTTGTGTTACCAGAGGGTTCACAACAAGAATGGGTCACACACTGGCCAGATTCTGCTCTCTCATTCGACCATCACTGGGTCACTCCAGATTGACGCTGGCCTCCCCGAGAGCCAAATCAGGGCCCCTGTGTTTTGGAATCCCCATCTTTCATGCCTGGTCTCAGAACACCACATAAACTGGGGGTTTCCTTCACAATCTTTCAGCGCTCTCACAGAAGTGCTCTCTCTGTAGCAGGACCCAAACAAGTGATTTTTGCAGCTTGTAGCCAAAAGTTAAAAACTCAGGGTGAATCTCGTCCCATTGAGATCTAATGGGCTGCAATACGTTAAAGCTTTGTTTCGCTTTGAGGAGGAGTTACTCATGCTGGCTCCTTTTAGTCTCCACGTCCTCTGTCCCTCCCACCGGGTCTGTCCCTTTCTCCTTCCCTGCATAGGCTGACTGCTGCTGGGGTTCCCTTCACCCCCGGAAAGGCAGTTCAGGCTGATCTCCCCCTTTTCCCCGGTGCAGGCAGACACTGAGTTTAACCTCGTCTGAGGAGGTATTTCTGTGAGCTGTTGCTGTGGGGTCTGGCACCTGAGTGAGGGGTATCGCTGTGTGGCAGGGATGGAAGTTGTGCCGGGTGGGGACCTGCCCTGTCAAGTCACAGAACTGCAGCCTGGGTGTCACCACCTGGACATTCTATAACAGATTTAAAAGTAGCCAGACTTGAACAAAAAAACCTCAGAACCAGACTTCAAAGAGAAACGGCAGAACTAAAATTCATTTGCAAATTTTACGCCATTAATTTGGGCTACAATAGGGACTGGGAGTGGCTGGCTCATTACAGAAGCAACTTTTCCTCTCCTGGAATAGGGAGAGGACGACATCCACCCTGATTGAATTGGCCTTGTCAACACTGGTTCTCCACTTGTGAGGTAGCTCCCTTCTCTTCATGTGTCAGTATAACAATACCTGCATCTGTAATTCTCACTCCATGCATCTGAAGAAGTGGTTTTTTTACCCACAAAAGTTTATGCCCATATAAATCTGTTAGTCTTTAAGATGTCACTGGACTCCTTGTTGTTTTTGTGGATACCGACTAACACGGCTACCCCTGGAGGTTTATCAAATATAACTATTTGTTATAATTGTTATAAAGTGTGTAATCCCCTTGCTGTGCTTCTCTCTCTTCACAGGAACCTTGATAGTTTCTGACCCTGATCATCTCATCGACCACCTCATGGCAGCTTTCAACCTCACCCCTTCTGACCCTTCAACATTCATCTTAATGGGCATCCCTGGGCTAGAAGCTGCTCACATCTGGATTTCCATCCCTTTCTCTATGTTGTTTGTAATTGGCCTGTTGGGAAATTTCATGCTTCTTTTTGTTGTAAGCAAAGAACAGACTCTGCACAAGCCGATGTACCTGCTACTCTGCATGCTGGCACTTACAGACATTGGCACATCTACCTCCGTCGTGCCGAAGGCACTGTGTATATTTTGGTTCAATTTGAAAGGCATTACTCTGGGTGGCTGCCTCACCCAGATGTTCTTCCTTCATGCAGTTTCTATTATGCAATCAGCCGTCCTCGTGACAATGGCCTTTGATCGCTATGTTGCCATATGTAACCCTCTGAGATACACCACCATCCTCACCAATGCACGAATAGCTAAGCTAGCGCTAGTGGGTTTGATAAGAGCTGTTCTCTTCATTCTGCCCCTGCCCCTGCTCCTGAGCAGGCATCCATTCTGTGCCAACCGCATTATCCCCCACACGTACTGTGAGCACATGGCTGTGGTGAAGATGTCATGTGGGGACATCACAGTCAACAGGATGTATGGCTTGGTGATAGCATTTGTAGTTTTAGGGTTAGACCTAATGCTCATTGCCCTGTCCTATGGTCTGATCCTCAGGGCCATCCTCAGAATCTCCTCCAAGAAAGCCCACGAGAAAGCCCTCAACACCTGCACAGCCCACATCTGTGTGATGTTGATGTCTTATCCTCCCTTCTTCTTTTCCACTCTGACACATAGGTTCGGTCAGGGCATCAATCCCCACATTCAAATTATGTTGGCCAACCTCTATTTCCTCCTCCCCAACATGCTCAACCCTATCATTTACGGGGTTAAAAACAAAGAACTTCGTGAGAAAGTGGTCAAATGCACTTCCAGAATGTGTTCTCTCTGGGGCCACTGACATTAAACCTTCCTGACTAGATGGGGAAATGATATCTCCTTGTTAATCACAGGTGCTCTCTCTTAGTTTGGCTTAACTCACCATTGTGGAAGTTCACTGTACGAGAAATTCCACATACCTAATATCTTATCACTCCATCACCAAGCTCTGCTCTCTCCATAGCTGAGTTCCCTCTCTCTGACCATCACCTGGCCTCTTTCAGTATCACCCATCAGCCCCCAACCCGCACACACCCTTTCCATGACTTCCAGACCACCAAAAGATATTGCAGCTTTCTGGTGCAAGGTGGCTTGTATTAATCCCTGTGTGAACAGGTTTCTTGATCAGTTTGACAAACTAAAGCTGCGCTTTTACACAGCCAAAGACAAAGAAAGAAACAACAATGCTGAACTTCTTTTTCATAGGTGCAGTGATCCGGTGAGTAAAATTTACCTTCTAGAGCTTATTGGTGAGAGTTGTGAAACCATGTATTTTTGAGAACGGGACTGCTATATTAAACTACAACCAACACCACTGAGTCGCTTTCCAGTTGGAACTCTCAAAACAGACACTAACAGTTCACATTGTCGAAGATGTTAAAATAGGTGTCGAGATTTCATGTTGGAGTTTTGAAACAGATGAAACAGAGATAGCCACCAAATGTCAAAGTGATTGGATCGCTTGCAGTATTAAGTCCTTCTACTGCACTCAGCTCGGCACAACCTACATTGGCTGATATCTCATTTTGCCATTGGTTTGTGGAGACTTTGGACAGTTGGAGCAGCAATGGAGAGGTTTGCCTATGGTTCACTGGCCTCAGGCTCAGGAAAACCAAGTTGAGCAGTTTGAAGTTCTCTAACACACGGGTTCTGCTGAGAACAAAATCTTTAGAGAACTTGGCTTGTTTGCTCTTTCATTCCTGTTGCTACCTTTTAGCAATGCTACAGTTGAATGATTTTCTCAGATGAACTTGATAAAAACAAAATTGTGCAAGAAGATGCAAGAGGAACTTTTAGAAAACATTCTTATTATGACACAAAATCTGTTGTGAACAGTTTGCATCAAAGAAAGAAATGATTGCAGTGGTCACTGCTGATGTATTAGCAGCAGGAGGAGCATTCGACTCCCAATGAAGATAGCAAGGATGAGATGTTGCCTTTTAGAAATGAACAGCAAGAAACTAATTCATCTCAAAATATGGACATTGACTATCACTGAATGCCATTAGAAAAAAAATAACATAATAATGTGATTGTGGTTTTTTCACTACATATGTTTTGGGCTTCTTTGGGGTTATTTTTAATACTGTTTTTTTGAAACACCTGCCAACCCTCAATCGGGATACAAGTACCAGTACTGGGATTTTGATTTTGAATTTGATTATCATCTCATAGCTTTGTTGCTAATGTGCACCAGCGCCTGCTGGGGTTTGTAGCTTTTTTTTAAAAAAAAATCTGTCCTAGATATCTAATGAAATCTTCCATTTCTTTCTTGATGTATAGGCCAACACGTTGATTGAAAACCAAAACCAAAACTGTTTGCTTCAAGAAATAGATTGAGTTACTTTTGGGTTAGTTTTTAAATTTGGGCTCATAATCCAGTCGAAATCTGGCAATTTTTCGAGCTGAGTTGGAGGCAGGGCAGCGGCAGCCAGAAACAAAAGGGAAGCGAAGCAGCCCAGAAGGCAGAAGGGTGTACGTAGACCTGATGGAAGGACAGATGCTGGGGAGAGGAGTACTGCAACCTAGACCCAGAGGGAGTGTGACCACCACCAGAACAGCTGCCTTACTTGCGGTATCAGGCAGAGAAGCCACGGCCTGGGTTGGAGGCATGGGACATGTGAGGAACAAACTGGGAACATTTCTTACATCAGCTGTTCGTGGTGTTCCCCGTGCCCACAGAGTGGGGTTCCTTGTTTCTTGAACATTTTTCATGTTTTCTTTTTTTTTTAACAATTACCGTTTAGTAAATTATATTTGATTTGAACTTAATGTAGTGATCAGTGGGTCACAGAAGCATTTGGTGTGAAGAGGGTACCCTGCAGTGGGGCCACCCTAGCACCTGTCCTAAGTGACCACGATGAGACTGGAGGTTCAGCCTGCCAGGAATCCTGGGCCAGCCATGTCACCATTACGAGGAATCTGCTACACAGGAGAGTGAACGGGGAGTCCTTGAGGTGTGGCAGGTCTCTGGGTAAAGGGAATTGGAGTAGGGACTCAAACCCTTTCACTAACCAATTCTCCTGGGTGCTGCAGAAACCAGGAAAGTTTCCCACAACAGCAGGACCCTTGCCCTACGTACAGTAGGGAATGGGACAAACTGGATTTTGGGCTGGATTTTAGTGACTTCTGAAATATCATATACATGAAAAAAATCTGAAATGTGTAACTTTGGGGAGCACACTGTCTGAGTAAGGTGAATGTAACATCACTGCACGCAGCTGGCTGCCCTGACTCAGGCAGATATGGGCAGCCTGAGTCATGGCTTACCATGGCTGTAGAGGAGCTGGAGTGAGCTGTTACCAATGGCCCTGAGTACTGAGAGAAGCCCATCCCCTGCCACAAGTTCCCCCCACCACAGTGGCCACCTCAGCCCAGCAGGCCCCCTGGCTGTGGTGGGAATGCAGCCTCATGGTGATGGGGACCATTTTGGTGAGATGCCATCTCCTGCAGCCACACATGGCTCTGGTCTTTACACCCCTCAGCTCCCTTCGTGCCAGACAACACTCCGTTTTACATCGTATTCAGGCCCATAGTGCCCTGAGAGTCATGATCCCATGGCAGGGTTTCTTGGTCACCGCATGTCCCAGGAGAAATCTCCTCAGCAGCCCATTTGCTTCAGTCTCCAGTGTGAGCTCGACTCAGGGCACTTGGAGTCCCACTGCTGAGTCCATGAGGTGGTGGCCAGCATGGGCCATGGTGGGGTTAACACACGGATGGTTCGTGTGAACAACACACATCTGTGGCATGGTGGTACATCGCCCATGGCAGTCTATGGGCCAGCCCTCCCTCCATGCCCATGTACAGCACCAATCTGGGAGCCAACTGTCCTGTCACCCCACTTAAAATAAGACATCCATAGAGCTGCTGAAGGAGAGCACACAGTCTGGTAAGCTCGCCAGCCTCCTAAAGAGATGGGCAGAGGTGGGAGGGATTAGATGGGTCACGCTGACTGCTCTGGGAAAGCAATGACTGAAGTAGGTTCCCCCACACACACACTATTAAAGCATTCAGGGTTTTGTATTTAAGGTCGTTTCTGAGTTGGGAATCACTCTGCACAGAGGGATCAGCTGGTTCTGTGCTTCTCCATGTTCTCCACTAGGTTGGGCTGACGTAGAGATTAGATTTTTTTGCCCAGACTTTGATCTCCTGGGGCAGAATGAAAAAAATCCACTGCAATCCTGGACCCTTCTTAGGCTGAGTCACAGGTAAATCATGCATCCAAAGAAGTGGGTATTTCACACAAAAGCTCATGCTTCTATACGTCTGTTAGTCTATGAGGTGCCACAGGACTCTGCTGCTAGGTAAATCATTGTCGTCAGGGACGGCTGTAACTTTTTTGCTGTCCCAAGCAGCAAAAAAAAGTGCCGCCCCACTGAGCCCCCCTCCCCCGTCGAGCGCCACGCTGCCGGAACCCCCCCGAGCGCCGCGCCCCGCGCCGCCCCCCTATTGAGTGCCGCACCGCCGGAGCCCGCCCCCCACCGAGCACCGCGCCGCCGGAACCCCTCCCTGAGCGCCGTGCCCCGCGCCGCCCGCCGTGCGCCGCGCGCCACGCTGCCGGAGCACCCCCCTGCCCGCGGAATGCTGTGCCGCACCGCGCTACCCCCTGCCACCCCAAGATTGGCCGCCCCAAGCATGTGCTTGGTTGCGTGGTGCCTGGAGCCGGCCCTGATTGTCGTATAAGTAAAGTTGTCCTACAATTCCAAAATAGGAAAGCTACCAAGAGGAGCTCGGCCCACAGTCACCCCCACCCATTTGTCCGTAGCAGAGGTCTCTCAATATCAATTTCTGTGCAGGAAGGACAAAATCCCAAATCCCCAAAGGAAACATGCAAATATCACTAGACTCTGTTCCACTTGGAGTTTAATCTTCTTCTTTCCTATACCTTCGGTAGGTAGCAACGACTACAAATGTATATCTAGATTTGATAGCCAGCTTACTGCCTCACCCCTATCTCCTTACCCTGCCGGCAGAGGGTCCCTCACCAGAGGTCGGTCCTAGCTGGTGTCAGTCTCAGACCTTCTGGACAATGGGTGCCAGGACTGGAGAAGACAACAGTGCTTGCCCTTCTCCCACATACGTGGCCCCATTATAGAGTAGAGAACTGAGCCCTTGGACCACGGGCGGAGATCATAGTTAGTGATAGAGTGCAGCCCTGCCATGCACGGTGTTCATAGACAATGGTTATGATTAGTAGGTGGCCGCCATTACTTATTGGTGGCAAAATGAGAAAAGTTTGCTTGGAGACAGGTTTCTTTTGAAGTTTGTAAATATGCAGGGGGTTGTTCGCCTCGGAGCATAGAGGGTAGGACAGAGAGGAGAGTTGTTTTGTTATTCAGACACTGAATTACAGCAAGCAAGGGACACCTAGCCTTGTGATCTAGAGGGCCCCTGCTAGCAAGAACAGAGCTGGGATTAAGATGAATCATAAAGAGCAAGATTTTTCTATTGTGTATTTATGCTACTGTATCACTCAGTAAATGATGTGTGTTTTATGGAGTGGATCTCCTAGTCTCTAACCAAAGCCCCTCGGTGCTGAACCCCACCCTTACCAGCAGGGTAACACCATTGAGTCACAAGTCCTCATCAGACTGCTCCTGGCACTGGCCAAAAAGGCCATCAATCCATCCGGGAGGTCAACACTCCCCAAGGAATTTCAGTGCGACTATAGGGGGTTTGTTTCTGTTCTTTAGCTGTCTGATTACCTGATGCAGAAAGGAGATGAAATAGTAGAAGTGTTTGAGCTTCCAGATGTATATCTGCTTTAGAGCTCACAAAGGGATACTGGCAAATACCTTTGAT